AAAAATTCGTTGCTGCCTAAATCTAGAACTAGATATGAAATATGAATGTTTCTTCCAATCTTCTCTCTCAAACCCAGACACAGTCTCCCTGATTCGGTGATCTCCTCTGTCATAGTGGTGGTTCCTCCTATCCTTTTTGGTCTTCTATCTCCTTCTCCTCTACCGTACTGGTACTTCTCTTCCACTATTGATTCGTCGCGCTGCCGCCTCTCCTCCATCGTTCTCTCTTGGATAAGGTGTCTCCTTTCACATGCAGTTGTAGGTGCGTGAGAAGGACAAGGAGAGCCTGAATTTGATGATATAACTTTTCATTAACTCCATTGGAATACTTTGATACTTTGATTAACTTGTGTAATATTGACTTGTGGATGTAGTTAGTTGAATTATGTTAAGTATATTTTTTCGATGATTGGTGGTTTAATTTTTTGAATTTTTCATATAGGATATATATTTATATTTTTTTAATGTATAAAAATGAATCCATGACCCTATGACCTCTAACCTCGGCCGAGTCAATGGCCGGGCCGAGTTTTTCCATATTAATTTTTTTTAATAAATAAATAAAATAAACTAAATTATAATCAATTTATTTAAAAAAAAATATGATTTCTTCACTAAATAGATTGACTAAAATACAAGGCTTGGTTGGAAATAAGTTTGATTTGTTCTTTTGTCAACTTGGAGAAGAACATCAAGCACAGAAGGGGTGACATAAGAATGAATATGTAATTTTTTTCTCCTTAAGCATATAGTACAATCAATGGTGTATGATGAGATATAACAAAGTCAAATGGGAATATTTTCTTTTCTAAACTTTACAATGATGGGATTAACATCCTTCCACTTTGTCCCCCTCTCCTTCTCTGATTGTTCTATCTTTTGTGTTTTCTTTATGATTTAATTGATGTTCTCCTTCTTCTTCCTAATGGGTGGAGGGTTCCCATCTCCTTTTGCCTTCAGTCATTGCTTTTCTCATAGGAAAGGAATATAACGCCAGTGCCTGTGGCTGTGCCTATGTGCCTCCCCTTGAAACATCCTTTGGGCCCCATCTGAGGTCCAATCATGTGGGCCCTTCCTGTCTGGGCCGCTTCATACACATCCCTCATTGAATTTTCCTTTAAAAAATTGGTTTGTTGCGTAAATCAATAGAATGCTGAGGTGGCTTTGCTTTGAGGGGTTGGTGTCGTTGAAGTGGAGACTTGGTCCCACACAAATCAGCCACTTTGACACACAGTGAATCTCTCCCTCTCCCTCTCCCTCTCTCACTGACCTTTACTTGTTTGGCACACTTATTATTGTCATTATCGTACCCTTTTTTTTTTTCTTTGGTTTTTTTGTTCTTGTTTTCTCACATCATTTTACCCTCCCGTGCTCTGTTCTTTTCACCATAAAGCTTTAACCCACAAATGGATAAAGATGGTCTTGGTGGTTAAGGGTGTTGCCTAAGCAAAACTACGCACTTGGTTTGAAGAAGACCACTCCTAGACGTGGCATTTTCTTTTTAGTACCACTCAAGGACAAGCAAATTAATAAATGGGACGATTTTTTTTGGGGAAATAATTTTCTTACGAAAATAATTATTTATGTTGTAAAAATAAAATTACAAGTGGAATTCATAGGTACGAGGAGAGAAAAAAAAAAAAAGTGAAACTCATCCATCTTTTGTGTGTATGGAAAATTTAGTTATATCATGTAAAATGAGATAAATATAACTCTTATTTTTATATGAGAGAAATACTTTATCTATCACTGACACAAAAAATAAGAGAAAAAACTATAAAAAAACAAGAGAACCATTTCTATTTTTTTGTGTATATGTGACAAATAAATTATTTTTGTCACAATTATAGAAATATTTTCTCCTTAATTTATATTGAAATTTATTTATCTCATATTGCATGAGATAATTATCTCATGTAATAGAGATAAGATACTGAATCCATCTTCTTTTAAAAAAAAGAAAAAATAATAAATTTTATTATTTTATCTCTATTGCATTAAATAATTATCTGATGAGATAATTATTTTTCCCTTAATTTATATTATATAACCACTTTATTTAAGCCTCTAACTTGTCATAAAGACAGGTATAATTAGGCCAAAGTGAAAGGAACAAGGGACCCATTAGTCACTTCATGTGAATTAGATCACTGATCAACGATGCTTGCCAAGAGAGGTCACTGTATGGGTTGTCTTATCCTTTTATCTTTTTTAGCATTCTTCATATCTGAAAACTTGTTGGTATGCTCCAATGTGGCATCATATTGAATTTTTTTGTTCTTATAGAGTAACATCATACCAATAAAAGGTTCCCAATCAAGGTCCAAACAAACTAGGATGAATTAAATTTTAAGAGTCATACAATACCTGTGATATGAGATGCCCATGGGGCTATGGGAGGAGTCCTTGGACAAAAGTTTTACCTATACCTTGTCCTTATCTGCCACGGTGGATTTGTCTGAGATTTTACTATTTAAATCTTCCTCACATTAATGATTTTTTTATTTATAAAGTAAACCATAAATATTGGCTCCATATAATATAATATCTTCCTAGTAGTGACTTCCCATCATTTTCTATAAACTTGTTAAATATGCAAAGCGGGATAACATGGTACAAGCCACTTAATAACCTTTTTTTTTTTTTTGTAAATTCCACTTAATAACCTTTGTCTTAATGAAAACCAATCAAGTTTGAGAAAGAAAATTCCCTTAATACATCCAAATTCTAAAGTCAGCTATTAAAATTCTGATGGGCATTATTGTATGTCAATTATAAGGAAGAAGATAGTAGCCAAAATAAAATAGAAATAACTTGTGAACAAGGTCGGTTAATTAACATAGCGTTCCCTATGGGCAACTAAAGAGGCGAGTAAAAAGCTCACAAAGTAGCTCAGTTAGCAACTGAGTTCCCAAAGATTTGTTTGAGGTAGAGATTCAAATCATGTCTCAAGTAAATTTTTGAAAAATCTTTGAGGGTCAGAGGATGTGTCTCTCTTCTCGAATAGAAAATTAGTCTTATCCTTTCTCTGGTAGCGAAGCTCAATGCACCCGCTGTTCCAATGAGGACAGGGCTGGGCCGTACTCCCGAGGACAAGGTGACCGGAGGAGATTGAATGAGAATACCTCCAGGTTATAAAAAAAAAAAAAAAGGTGAGTAAAAGGTAATACATAAGAATCGATTTAGTTCAAATTTTGTTGATTACCCCCCAATCAACTGAATGTCACGCAGAAAGACAAGGTAGGTGGTGTAACAAGGTACAGAAGGATAAAAATAAAACAAGGTTCCATAGCAATAAATGAAGGAGAATAACAAGTTATACGTTTTAGGCATCTGTGGACTCAATTATGACATATACTTAATGTTTCTGATTGTAATGTTTATAGAAAAGAGGACCTGCTTCATAATAATTATTAACTTGGGAAGAATCGTGGTCAGCTTAAAATACTGTCCAATTCAAACTAGCATTAAACAAACACCAACTACCACCCCATGAGTCCTTCTGCAGTTCCATTTAAGAATGTGACACAGAAAGGTTACAGATGATTAGTCTCAGACTCTGCGTGTTTAATTATAGAAGCTTGAGTTAACCCTTCTACTCTTGTCATCAATCTGAGGTGTGCATTGTTTGCAAAGTGAGAACTTTTTGCCCATTGAACAGTATTTCATGTCTTGTAAATTACATGAAAATGACTTGACAGGTAGAGGAAGTATTTCATCTAAATTAATGTGATTTCACATTTGAACGACTCTAAAGAGTGCGGATTTCAAGTTTAATTGAATACAACGTGACAATGATAATTTGGAAAAATAAAGAAAATGGCAGTGAGGGTTTTCTCAACTAAAGGCAGAGTGCTTCAATACCAGAAAGGTCTATTTCATGGAACTAAAGTTCATGATCTTTCCATCTTGAACTAGATTTTGCGGTTCTCTCTCTCTAATAATAATAATAATAATAATAATAAAGATGCCAACATCAGCTTGGAACCACAAGACTAAACGAGGGGAAATTTATTTCAAGCTGAAAAAACCTACCTCTAACTACAAGGTTTTGAATTGGACTACCAGTCAAGCTGATGCCGCAAGACCTTCAAATGAAGTAACTTTTCAAGCACCATGCGAAACTAATAATCAAGTGAAAAATATAAAAATGATAGGCAATTCCACGACAGACACATCCTTAAGTTATCAAAAGATAATACCATATAAATAAAGGGTAAAATATGTGTCATTTTAAAGGATGTAAAATTGTATCATTTTAAGTGAGAGAAAGAGATAGATAAAGGAGGAGAGAAAGTGAAAAAATAAATAAAAGTGTGAGTCCCACCTATTTGTGAGAGTGAAAAGATGTAAATTATGTCATTTAAAAGAACAAACATTTTTCCCATAAATAAAAACATTGCCAAACTCATACATATTTATATGTTGCATAAAAAATTTTCCGTACAAATACACATTCAATTCAATAACTTGACATAAATATATATTTATTATCGTATTCATGATCATAAAGTATTATTCTACCCAAAAACATTGAACCAAATTTGAAGGCAAAAAAGGTCTAAGAATTTCTGAACTTGGTAGAGAATTCGATTATGGTTGGAAGTATCACCCAAAAACATTGAACCAAATTTGAAGGCAAAAAAGGTCTAAGAATTTCTGAACTTGGTAGAGAATTTGATTATGGTTGGAAATATCAATTGATTATGGTTGGAAAATTATGGTTGGAAAATTATGGTTGTAAAGGCGATATATATATATATATATATATATATATATATATATATATATATATATATATATATAACAAGCATGGGGCAGTGTCCACCTTTTTTTTAAACAGAACAGACATAATCTCAATGATTTCCCCAAAGAAACAAACAAGGCTCCAATTGCCTGTTGAAATAAGAGTGTTGCCGAGGGAATAGGGCTTGAAGTGATGCAACAATCCCACAGCCACAAGCAAGAGAGAAGCAACAAATGAAGCTCGCTGAAGAGGTATAATAAGATATGATCAACATACATAAGAGCAAAAACATAAGCAGATTATATGCTAAACCGCTCTTGAATTTCAGATATTCGACTGCTGATGCTAACCTGCAACAACTGTCGCATTTTAACAGGACAAAAGGAAGGGATGATATTACATCACTCATTATAAGATGAGAAGCAAACTCTAGATCATTACAAAACCAAGACCACATTCCCATGGATTCAAACCTCTCTATTGCAATGAACATCAAATTTTCAGCTGCTCCAAGCTCTGCACTGTCTCAGATTCTGGTGGAATGTTCTCAGTCTTGGTGTCTGTCTCCTGAGTTTTAGCAGGCAATTCATCTTCCTGGCTCTGGGCACTAATAGCAGGTAGATCATCTTTTCGGATGGGAACAGGTTCATCCTTTTGAACAGGTAGATCGACATATACCGGAATAGCTTGTTCATCTTTTTGAACCGGTTGAGCAGCATATACTGGATTAGCTTGTTCATCTTTTTGAATCGGTGAAGCAGCATGTACTGGAACAGCTTGTTCTTTTTGAACCGGTGGAGCAGCATATACTGGGATAGCTTGTTCATCTTTTTGAATCGGTGAAGCAGCATGCACTGGAACAGCTTGTTCTTTTTGAACTGGTGTACCAGCATATACTGGAACAACTTGTTCTTTTTGAACCGAAGGAGCAGCATATACTGGAACAGCTTGCCGAATATTGACTGGAGGAGCAACTCGTACATGGGGAGGAACCCGCATTACTTGATGGGAAATTGTGGCTGGTGGTGGAGAGAATACAGGTACTGCAGTCCTTACTGTCACCGGAGGTGCAATCCCCTGGCAAGGTGATCTAATTTGTCGAATGGGAACATAAGGTGCTGCTCCTGCTGCGGGGAACTTTGGGCGTCGGTTCCCTCGGCTTTCTAGTGTACAAGAGAGTGGTGGCATCATAAAATTGTCACTGGCAACTGCTGCTACTGGATGCCTGCTTCGAGGTGATGTCTTTCGGCAAATTAAGGGAAGTATTTTTGATGTAGTGGCAGGTGGAGGTTGAGGACTGGTTGGCCTGGCATTCTGAATGTGAAATGTCTTTGGAAATGGAATTGGAGCATTTGGATTTGACATTGCCATCTTTTCCTTCTGACGGTAGTTCATTAAGGCCCGCGCTATAGTGATCTGTTCTAATTCGTCATTGTTCTCTGGTTCAGTTGACGATCTTGCAGTTTCTTTTGCCACTGTCAAGAAATAAAAATATTGTCAATTCATATTTAACCATCTACATAAACAATAAAACCATATTCAATCCCGATTGGCGGCACAGAGTAGGCCGCTCTACGAATATTATGGATACAAGACGAATAATTTATACTGCACGTATATAAATGCTCAATTTAAAAAAAAAAATTTACCCAAAATTAAAGATATATTCGTCATTATTAACTAAAACCATTGTATAGACACACAACCACCATCAATCTAAGGCATGATTAACAAGTCAATAATCAAACAGCAAAATTGGAGCATGGAAGGGGGCATGGCTGGAAATAGAAGAGGCTGGGAACTTGCTGAAAATGAGCAAAGAGCAAATAAAAATGTGTACAAGTAACACATAACAACTGTCTTACAGAGGATGGATGCTGGAAAATGACAGTTTTGGCTGGAAAATGCTTGGGCTGCTGAGAGGTAGTCAAAAAACACGTTGGAAGAACACTGAGGTGCAAACATAGGGTGCAACTACTGGTTTTTCTATGGATGAAGGGATTCTAACCCAAAAATCCTTTGATGCATAAAAAACGAATAAAATCGCAAAAATATCTCTTAAAAATTGAGCGGCCAATGGTCAAAAGATGGACAAAACAGGGATTTTGTCCCTGTACATAGTTGCAGCAGCAATCGACACGAATTCATCCATGAAAGGCCGCAATCTCAACCGTAATCTGTGTGAAAGCAAAAAATGACACAACAGAGAACTCAAAGCAAGCAGAGGCCGCTCTGCCTGACATAGCAGCTATAGCGGTGCAATTTGCTGCTATTAACTACAATGCTTAAATAAGTTGAAGATGATCTTGGCCTTTACCTCAAAAAGTTGTGGAAATACACAGGAATGTTTATTATAGATGGTTTGTGCACTGCACCAGCAGTTCCGAAAGATCAAAATTTCAGCTCGGTTCACTTGTGACATGTCTTACCAGAACGACAAGAATTAGGTAAAAAGAACCGGCCTGTGTATTGCTACCGTTCCATTTCGTGGTTTATTTTGATGCCATATACACCAATACACCAGACAAATTGATGTAAAGTTCCAAACCTTTCCATGAAAGAAAATTTCGACAGAAGCTAGGTAACCACTTACATTGCTTTAGAGATGACCAAGATGCCATGGCTGCATTTTTCTCAGCTTGTTTCTTATTCTTGGCAGGTTCACCAGTAAATGTGATTCCAGCTAATTCTACTGTCCCCGTAAAAACAGGTAGGTGTCCTAAGCCTGACCTGAATGTTGTGTATTGTGGCAATGGAGCCCCCACCCTCTGCGCAATTTCCTGTAAAAGGTTCTTGTAGACTCCCGTTTCATCCTAAAAATTTGTAAATGATAAGCATATGAACAGTAAAATTATACAATTAAAACACACCATGCAACGTGAATAGATAAACATTTTAACGACAATAACAAAGACATAGAAAGAAGATATTGTGAATAAAATCCTCCTAGAATATGCATAAAATATATATTCTGAGGGAAGAAGAGAGGTATGTACAAACATAGGAAAAAGAATGGAACACTGTAACACATGCTGGGGGTCCTCCACATTCCAGTTTAGAAGTCTAGGGGAAGGTCAAAGGCTTAAGAAATTAAAAAAATAGACTTATAGATAATTTTCTTGGTTATTGGGTGAATCAAACAAATTATGTCCACAATTATTCTCTTTTGTTTTCTTCCATACAGGCAAGGTGCAGAGCCAGCAAAAAACCATATGCACTGGAAATTTACTAAGAGCAAACTTCTTTGCAAGTTATACAACATAGGAGTGGAAAGATCAACCCCTTTTAAAGAAACAAAGCTTATGTTCTCTTTCAATATTGGTTCATAATAAGACAAGCATGATTTAGGAACGATGATTGATAGTAACTGCAAAATTTCACCAATAATCTAAAATTCAAAATCGTGGTAACTAATGTACTCCACTTGAATAAAATAACTGCTTACTAAATTTACCTGTTCCCAATTTTATAATTCAGATACTACAACAGGTTCAAGCAAATTTTATTAAATGAAAATCAGTTGCATCATCATCATCCTTGTCAAACCAATAGAACAATTGGTTTCTCACAAAATGCAAAACCATCGAATAATGAGTTTAAAACATAACCAAAAGGACCACTGACATAGATGACAACATTCTAGGCAACAGAACAAACAAACAAGCTAAGAAACCTTACAAAACAAAACTGAGCACGTTTCACACTACACACAGTTACACCAGAAAGTGCAAGGGCATTTCAGTCATTATAGGAAAAGAAGACATGTTCAGGCGCCGACAGAAGCAGAGAGCGAAGTGACCAACAAAAAACAAGAGGAGAGAGAGAGAGAGAGAGAGAGAGAGACTTACGAGGATCCTAGCGGCGAGGGAGTGAGAGGGACCACGGTGGGAGAGAGAATTGAGGGCAACCTCGGCGGCGGAGTGCTCCGCCTGGCGCAGCGTGGAGCAGTACTGAGGGCTCTCGAAGATCTCGCCATTGAAGTTAACGGTGGCCTTGAACCGCGGCGCGTGATCAGGACCTTCCCGAATGCACGTGTAAGAAGGAAGGTTGAAGCAACTACGCTGTGCCAGCTCCTGAAGCTGGTTCTTGTACATTTTCCACTCTGCGATTCAACCTCACTTTCTCTCTCCGGAAAGTGGGTGAATGGCGCTTCAACCACACTCAGATCCGATCGGGTCGGATTCCGGGTCGGACTCCCCCGCCCAAAAGGAAAAGACTTTCCTCCTTCTGCCGGAAAATTAGCTCCGGTGAAATAAAGGGTCTTAACAGTTTTAGGATTTCAAGTTGCAGAAATGAGATGAACCTAGAGAGAGAAGTGCTGCAGCAGAAAGCAAAAGAAACCAGAAGAGAAGAGAAGAGAAGAGAGAGAAAGTGAAGAAGTGAGAAAAAAAGACGATGATAGATGTAAATTTTTTTGTTTTGGGGGCAAATATTAAATAATTTATTAAATTGAAAACGTTATTTATTGCTTTGTTAGTAGGAGTCAACTCAAACGTTTGGCGTGCATGGATGTGATATTTTCCCTGGATTTTCCTATGTTTTTGTGATAATGGTTTTTTTCTTAATCTTGGTTGGCCCTTATTTGTAGGTGCAACTTGTTAATTATTTTGATTTTAAAGTACTATATGCTTAACATTTTTTTGTTTTTAAATTGAAATGCAATAATGCGTAGTTTGAAACTGAGAAACAATTATGTTTGAGCCAGCCAGGAAGCAAAACTTCACCAGTATTAACCTGGAAACTCTCTTTGGTTTATGATTTTCTTTTCGGAAATATTTTTATCATGTTACGTAAAAAAAACTTATTTCATGTGACACATTTATTGAAATCTGAGCCAATATTTCTTTTTTGAATAAATGTCTTTTTTGGTCTTCAGCAAATTTTACGATGACCGCTTTAGTCCCTAGCAAATAAAAAGACCCATTGTGGTCCCTCAGAAATTCAAAATGGATCCATTTTAGTCTTTTTAGGGACTAATATAGGTATTTTTTAAATTTGTGAGGATCACGATTTCAACTAAATGAGTTCATTTTGAATTTCTTAGGGACTACGATAGACCTTTTTATTTGCTAGGGACTAAAACGGGCATAATAAAATTTGCTGAGGACCAATAATGATATTTACTCTTTTTTTTTTCTTTTTAATTGTGAAACCCACATAATTATGTCTCTACATGAAATAATGTTATCTCATGATGAGAAGAATATAACCCTTTTCTTTTTTACTCTCTTAAAACCTGACTTTCAATGCCGGACTTAAAAAAAAAATGTTGTGAGAAGGTAGGAAGTAGCGAGAAAAAGAAAATACACACTACCATGACAACATGATAATAAATTTGAAGAACTTTCAAAAAAAAATTTGTATACAAGGAATAATAAAGATAAAGGAAATGAACCTGTATTACATTATTTTTCTATTAAATCTAAATATAATTTAAGATAAATATTTGAGAAATTTCATGGGAATATCACCCCTACCTGACTCGACCATTGCCCTAACTATATAGTATCTACTAACTAATATATTAAAAGTTTAAATTTTTATGTTTTTAAGTAATTAAGATAAATAATTATTATATGTATTCTTGAACTTGTTGTTTACACGTTCCAGATTATTATTATTTTTTTTGGAATACCACGTTCAAGATTTTTTATACGATATAATGACAGCATTTATGAGTATTAATTATTATTTATTTTTCACATTAATATTTTCTGCATTTTTCAGTTTTGTTTCATAAAAGTAATTAATTGTCGGCCAATTAAATTTATGAATAAACATCTTGCGTCATACCAACAAATTTGTATTTAAAACAATAAAGAAACTCTGTTGTCACAATCTTTTCGTAATTATAAATGGTACTCTTAATTTTATTACTGCTCACAAATAACCATATGTCATACAAATGTGTATTTTTGTATCAAAAAAGAAACTAATGTACAAAATAATTTTCATTGTTTTAATGAAAGAAGTGGAATCTAATTATGTTTGCATTAATACCTAAAACCTATCATTCTCTAACCTAATTGCATAGTGCTAAACCTCAACCATTAAAAATGAACAGCGCAGTATTGGCAAATCAGTGAAACCACCTAAAAAATTGGATATTCATTAACTTGGACCACTTTTCATTATTTATTTTTCTTCTTTGACCTTTTCCGAATGCATTCCAATTAATTACAGATTGTAACGCTGCATTAAGCATTAAATATTAACATAATTATACACAAATCACAATTCAAACATTTTTGCGGAGCTTATGCCTCTCTCTAATTTTATTTTATTTTCAGTAAAAGCATAATACTGAGTTGAAAAAGATATAAGAATTCAGTTTAAATTTTTATTTGAAATTTTCTTAAAAAATTATTTGAATTAAGCATTGTTAGAAATATATTATGCAAAATATGGATTGAACTATTAGGATATTAAACTTATTCTTTTATAAAAAATAATACGAAACTTATTAACTTTTAAAATAATGTAACAAGTTCTTTATTTTTTTAATAATGTAAAAATTTCTTGATAATGTTTGAACTTTGAACATATGAACCTATGCAAATACTAAAAAAGCAAAGTGGTCATGATTGTAAAACAGTAACCTTTTTCATAATGGGGTAAATAATGGAAGAGCCACTGAAGGTGAAGGACCCAATAGCAGGTCACGTGATGTGAATTAGTGAGATAATTATGGTGTAATATTTTCTCCAGTATGAATGTGTGGTGGCCTCCACACTACACAAAGTGTCCTCTTTTGCAAATGACAGGTATAGAGAGAGAGATAAGGGATGATGGGATAGTTATGTCGTCCAACCCAATGAGAATAAGACCATGGTGTGTTTTATATTAAAAACACTAGGGTTAATTATCATGGTGGATTTAAGTGGGGGACATAACTTTTCTAATCTCCAAAATTGGTGAATAGTGCCTTTGACAAATTGAACCACCGAATCCACAAAGAAGATGGCCAACGTTAATGATGAAAGAGGCTTTTTATTTTTGGTGTTGTTGTTTGAGGGGGGGACTTTGTTCTTATTTATTATTTTATTTCCCACCCAACTAAATTGAACACACCTTATCATCGCATTTAATGGAACATCATATTTTGGTGTACATGCCATATTGCATCTACATGGTGCACCATATACGTCATTAAAGCTTTTTTTGTAATTTGCTTTACAGACACACAACCATTGGAAACAATCAAAATTTCATTTCATAAAGTATTCTGCTATTAATTTCATTTCAACTCCAAATCTCCTAAAAAAAAATATGTATCACTATCCACATCCGAAGAAAATAAAATTTAACATGAGGGATTATTCCTTGTTTAGATAACATAAAAATACAAATAAAGAGTATACAAAAAAAAAAATACAAATAAAGAAAGAAAGAAAAGTAAAAAATAGACAACATGGTATTTTTTTTTATACCGACATTAATTACCTCTTTGAGATGAGTCAGTCCTTGGTATTTACATAAACTTCAACTCTTTGAGCCGGCTATGAGACTAATCCTGTGTGAGGGCTTAGTCACAGTTAAAGCTCTTCATCTCTCTCCAAATATGTATTTGATGAGAATCGAATACAGGTTATCTCTCTACCTACTCATCTTGTGTCGCCAACTGAACTACACCCATTGGGTGGACAACATGGTACTGGATCAACCATACTTAAACATGATAGGCATGAATAATATTTTATCACAATTAATTTTAAATATATTGGCCTTGAATTTTGAATATGTTCGGAGACTGAAACAAAACATTTGCATTTGACATTCTCATATTTTCTTTTTCATTCATACATATTTTTTAATTTGTCATCATATCTCTGTTAAGTTGAACAACTTGCAGTTATGAGGCAGGTTCTTTCTTACTGAGGCTCAAATCCAACTTTACTTTTTCCCTACTTAAGATTGCCAAAAGGGTGATAAAATGAAGAGTTAATAATTGGCAAAATTTTGAGAAAGAAAGAGAGAGATAAAGGGCTGGAATTTTTTTTTCTAGCATTGGGTAGTTTATCAAACAAACGATGTCTGATTGAGTTGAAATTTTGTTGGGAGATTCCTCATTCATAATTTTTCAAAGTGAGTAGTGGAATTTGCATTATAATTGATACACCCATAGTTTATCATGCTTTAAAGGACTAAAATCATAATAATTAACTCTCAAATCTAGCCTAAAACATGAAAACTTAGAGTTGCTTTGTCTAAAAAACATTAACCTCATTCATCTAACTTATGTGAGTAATCTTTGCTAATTTTGTAGGTAAATTAAGTTGAATTAAAGTGTAATAGCCCGTTGTACACCGGTATTGTTAACATTAATTATGATATTAAGCGCAGTTACAATCACAGCAATTCATTTATAAAAGTACGAATAAACTTTTTTAGATTATTACGCGAGCATTTAAAACAATAAAAGCGAAATAATTAAAAGCTGTGACTATAACTGTTAACTCTTGCAGAATACTTATTTTAACTATTTTTACTTCTTAATTTACTTATTATAAGTTACTAAGGGGTTCCCATAAACCCACTTAGTCAATTACTCAATTTTACGTTTTTACTTCTTTGAACATGGTTCACTAATTAATTTTCTGCGAACACATCGCTCACAACCAGACCTTCTTCTCAGTTTATATTTTTTTCTTACTTAATTCTCTTTCTAATAAGCTATCACTTGCTTCAATCGGAGCTCGTTTGCTCTGGCTATCGCCGTTTGAAGTTGGATAAGCAAAATAGCCAACCAACCCCAAAACAGCTCAAAACCTCTCTCACTCCACGAATTACTGCAGCAAATTTACTCATCCAATTGCTCTCAAATTTTTATATTACAAACTACACACCTCAACCTTCAATTTGATATATCATATGCTTAATTTGGCTGAGAAACGAAGCGGAAATTAATTTCCCAAAACTGGACCAGAACAGCCCCCAAGTGCAGTGCAAAACAGGGCAGTTGTGTTCACTGACTTGCACAGGGCAGCGCACAACCCATAAAATTTTAAGATTTTGACATAATGTAGGGGACATCTCAAGCTTCAAAACGGCATATCACACGTCCCTATCGGACCTCTATGGAGGGAGATATGCTCTCCCGAAGTTCACCTAAAATCTGCCAATTCTACAGAAAATTCGCCAGAGTTTCCTTTGTTTTTCCTTAAATCCCCAAATTTACATAAGCTTGCTAATACCACAAATATACCTAATAATCCAATGGGTGGCACACACAAGGACCAGCAATGCCTTGGGGCACTTACAACCCAATTCAGTTTATATTTATTACACAGTTTATACTATAATGCTCACTTTAAAATCCTTAACTTGTTTCAAACACAAGGATCCATTTACATGCCATTTCTCAACATAAGCATATAATCATCATCCT